AAATAGACCATGGGTTTATCAAGTATCAAGCAGGGCCACTGGGATGTATAATCCCAGGACAAACCAAACAACACTACAGTCTAGGTCAAGGGCTGGCAAACATTTTCTGTACAAGACCACATAGTAAGTATTTTAGGCTTTGTAGGCCATATGTTCTCTGTCACAATACTCAATAGTGCCATTTTAGTTAAAAGCAGCCATAGCCAATATGGAAATGAATAAGTATGGCTGTGTTCCAAAAAAGTTTATTTATAAAACATGTGGCGGGCCAGATTTGATCAATAGGCCAAACTTTGCTCCCTGACCTATGTGAATGACACTTTCTGGAGCACAGTGTGAATGGGGTTTCCTGGAGCGTAGCCTGAGAAGTCATAGGAAGAATCGATGTGCATCTTAATTATCCTGATCTCTTCTGCCCCATCTCCCAACAGCACTTAGTACATTGCCTTCCACATAGTAGGCTTGCAATGTTTTTCTAAATTAAATATGCCTGGAACTCAGTGAATCATCTTAGCATTTTGAGAGCTTAATTACCTTTGAAAACTGTTTTGTAAGATTGTAGTAAAGTAGTTCAGGAAGGGATCACATAAGCCCAAGAATCATAAAAAAGAATGTGACAGGGGAAGATGTGAGCTGAAAACATCTAAGGATTAGCAGCCAAAGAGAGAGAATCTGACATCAGAGCTGTGTAAAAGCAACAAAAAGGTATTTCAATCCTGAGAGACTAACATCGAGTGGCATCACACCATATGTAATAGATGTCTCAAAACACCCTCTAAATCCATGTGAATAATGCATTTAATACCAGCACTTCAATGCTAGAAAGATGTTCGTGATTTGGAGGAAACTCAGAGACCAACCAAAATGATTAAGAGACTGAAAGGATTCATTTATTAGCGGCTATAAAAGAAGCCAAATACGTGCTTGGCCTGCTGATGGCCAGAAAGAGATGGGAGTATGATTTACAAATTACTGAATGTTGTAAACACCAGGATGGGGAGGAATGATGGTCAGCTCTATTGGACTTAGCTCTTGGTATGGACATATTTCAAGCATTGACAAAGTCCTCTCATTATTGGGTCTTAAAACATTTATGGGCCATCTGAATAATATATAACTGAGAATGCTGTGATTGGTAATGTTCTATTATTACAGGAGAATAGGATGGCTCCCGAAGAACAAATACAAGACAAATTATTGCTTATTAAGGAAAGAAACACTCCAGGAATGCTAGGTATACTGAGAGAATTGAAATGTGCTAATAGTCTACTTTTTAAAATATCAAATACACGAAATTGTGGATATTATTATTTGGTGTAGAATTGTTGAAATTAAAGCACAAATGGAAAGGTGGCCAAATATTTCCTTCATTCCTTCCTTCTGTCATCCAATCATTTATTTAGCCATCTATCCCACATAGCTAATGCTTACTCACTATTTGTCATGTCCTGTACTGGTGATACAAAGAGTAATACTTCACAGGGCCTGTCAAAAAGAAAAAGCTTACAGGTCTAGTGGTGGGGTCAGGGAATCTGTTAGACTAAGAAGGAACAGCAGACAGGCTCAATAGAAACTGATAAGGAAGGAAAGAAAAGTGGCCCCTAACCCAGACTGGAGAAAGCAAAAAGGTTAGGGAAGCTTGTCAGGGGAGCTGATATCTGAGCCAAGTCCTGAAAGATTCTGAGAAGTCTATTAATCACAAAGAATGAGAACAGCATCCCAGGTAAGAAGAGTGAGCATTTACAGTGCTGAAGATGATAAAGTGCTGGACCACTTTGTCACAACTTATGTGAGACTGACAAGTAGTTCAGATTGACTGAGACAAATAGTGTAAGGAATGTGGCCTTAAAAGAACTGGAGAGTATTATGCTAAGTGAAATAAGCCAGTCAGAGAAAGATAAATATCACATGATCTCACTCATTTGTGGAATATAATGAACAACATAAACTGATGAACAAAAATAGAACCAGAGTCATAGAAACATCGAACAGACTGTCCAACCTATGAGATAAGGCAGGGAGTGAGGCGGTAAGAGATCAAACCAAAGGACTTGTATGCATGCATATGAGCATGA